GGCCACCCTGTTGAGTCTCTGGGGCCCTAGTTCCTCAAGAGAGGCTCAGTTGTCCTCAAGACTCCCGGATAGCCTTTATCACTAGGAGGGGCATGTGGAGGAGGAATTCTCAGTAGACTCCATGATGCTAGAGCTGAGACTACTGTAAAGGAGAGGTTTGCCAAAGTGACAAACTACAAGGAAGAGCAAGAGGGGCTCTGGTGCCGTGTCAGCCTGAAATGCTTCTCAGAGAGGGGGCCTCATGGTACCTCTGGTGCACTTTATAATTCTCAAAAGTTCCCAGCCTCTGTTTACTCTAGTAGCTATCTCAGGGATATAAGATGTGGGGGTCATGACCTCATTTGAGAGATGACGAAGCAAGGAGCTGAGCCAATCCTGTGCAGCGTGAGAATCACCTGCACTACCTAAAAAGTTACAAACCCTAGTGCCTGCCCTGGGCCCCTCCCGGGTAGGGCATGACCTCAGCATTTTTCCAAGCTCACTTTGAAGGGTCAAGTGTGCAACCAGCTTTGATAGCATGGTCATGATTCAGTGCATGTCCCAACTCTACCAACCTCAGCCCAGGCTTGCCCGGGGGTAGCTCTGCCAATTTGTGGATTAACTCTCTACAGCAGTCACAGGTCTGGAGGGACCTGAAGGGGCAGTGTGAACAGGAAGTCAGGAGGAGGGGCCTGGACAGCCAGTGTGAGCAGGAAGTCAGAAGGAGGGGCCTGGAGAGTCAGTGTGAACAGGAAGTCAGGAGGAGGGGCCTGGACAGCCAGTGTGAACAGGAAGTCAGGAGGAGGGGCCTGGAGAGTCAGTGTGAACAGGAAGTCAGGAGGAGGGGCCTGGAGAGTCAGTGTGAACAGGAAGTCAGGAGGAGGGGCCTGGAAAGCCAGGGTGAACAGGAAGAGGAGCTCCAACCAGATAGAAAGCAAACAGCTCAAAGGGTGGCAGGCTGCTTTTTATTCATCGTTAATTTAAATATTCCTTAGTCCTTTCTCAGAGCAAAGTGCTGCACAGAAGGAGAAATGTGTTGTTTCCAAGTGCTGTAGGCTTGCCTGCATGCTAGAATCCCTCCCCAGAGAATGCAGCATTAAAAAATGAGTTGTAAAGCCAGGGCCAGCTTTCTTGGGAGGAGGGGCGGGATCTCCTGTCAGGTTGGTGGAGAAATGCCATCGCTTCTCAGCGCACAGTGATGCTGGCTTTGCTCTGCATTCAGTGATGTCACGAGGCAGGATGCCTGCTGGTGCTGGGACTTCTCCAGGGTCACAAGAGTCCAGGCCACATGTCTGTGCTACCGAGCCCACATGGGGCCAGGAATGGCTTCAGCAGGTCCTTCCCCCTTCCCACTCTATAGGAGGAACCTCCAGGGTCTACCAACAACCCTAGTGACACACGGACAAGCCCAGTACCTCTTCTGGACACTGAAGGGCCCTGAGGTGCTGGCTGGCAGGGCCTCCTGGACACTGATAGAGATTTGTGCTTTTTTTTTTCTTTTCCTAAGAGTGTAAGAGGTTACATTAAGATAGACCCAGGTGGCCCACAGGCCCTGTGACAGCTGACTAGATGGGGTACTGTTGGCCTCAGCCCCCTAGAAGCATCTCCTCTGTTAATAAGGGCTCAGATGCCCTCACCGTAGAACCTGTAGGAAGAGGACCCTGCTGGGGGACTTGGTGACCAGCTATTTCTAGGGGTGGGCTTGGGGCTGGATGCTGGCGTCTGTGTAACACGAACACATGCACACTGTACATAAAACTCCTCAACACAGAGAGCAACAAAGCCTGAGGAGATCTCTAAAGAATTCAACAGGGAAAAACATCATTCTTCTTCAAGTGGCCCCACCTAGAAGGGCTTGAGGAAAGGGCTAGTAGCTGTTTGTAAGGCTGCTGTGCGTGGGTACACCTGTGCATGGGTACACGTGTGCATGACATGCAATGGCCAGAGTTCCCTGACACTGTTCAAGAGTTGAAGGCCTGAGACTGTCTAGCCCTTAGACCATCCCACCAGGACCTTAGGCTTCATCTGGAAGACACAGAGGCTGATATATGTGGCTTTCATGAGTAATGACACCAACAGCTGCTTCTGTATCTACCCACTCAACTCTAAGAAGACCAGAGGCTCAGCCCCTGGGCTCTGTGTTCTGTGTAGCCACAACCAGAAGACAAAAGATTATGGGAGTCATACTGTGTCATTACAGGTGCTCACAACATTATAGGGCCACAAGTGTGGCCCTGAGGTTGAGAACATTGGTGAGTTGCCAGCCATGGGTCAGACTAGAGATCCCTGTGACCGTGGAGGAGGCACTGCCATCTAAGGACATGGAGTCCTTCTTAGGAAAGGGGTCCTGAGCAATGCCATTGTTCCCATTGTTCTTGCTTCTCAGTATTCCCTCAAAGAAGAAGTCATACCGCATGAATCTATTGCTCCATCAAGTCCTCTGACCTGGGGAGCTCCAGATTTTCAAGAGCTCAGCCCCCAGGCATCTGGGACACTGAATCCTTTGGTCTGGACAGGGGACAGTAATGGGACATCATGCCACATAGTGGGACCGAGACTGGTGTTGTGTGATGGAGGTTGGCGGGACAGGGGCAACGATGTTCATGTGTCACCAGTTCCTGAGATACTCAGAGGACAGACATTTCTCTGGGAAGTCATGAGGGGGAAAGAAAAGAGGGGCTTCCTTTCTCTGACCCCGCAAACCATGGTGTATGCTTCCTTTAGATGCTTTGCTCTAGCTGCAGCCAATTGCCGTCTTCCAAAGACCACACATAGGAAAGTAACTGGGAACAGCTGTGCGGCTGTGTGACATACGCAGCTTAGGGGAGCCTACGAAGCATGGTGACAGAAGAGGCTGCCAAGGAGTGCTTGGCATTTCTCTTCCCTGGAGGAGAATCCTGGTGGTTGTTCCTCTGCTCCCAAAGAGGCAGAATTCCAGGCAGCGCCATGCATCAGTATGATGGCTTGGATGCCTTATTAGGTGGTGACTTGGTGGCCCAGCCTTAGCCCTCCTATGCAGTTACCAGAGCTCCCTCCCCATGGGCAAACTGCTATGTTGCCTGGTCCAGATGCCTCTGCCATGGGAATCTCTACTTCCCCCTCTGGATGGCTCAGCTTCCCAAGTTATTTCCCGTTGCCTAGGTGACATCTCTAATTGGATGTTTTTAGTCTGTTCATCTTTTAAAGGGATAAGCCTGCTGCTTTACTTCCAGGTCCCGCCAGAAGCTCTATACTGGAGACTTACCGTCACTTGATTGTGTAGTCCCTTCCTGGGGCCAAAGCCATTATTCATATGATAGCTCATGGGCTGCCCTGATGGACAGTCACAGTGGATACTGGAAGTATGGCTTTTGGAGGGGTCTACCCTCGAAGATTTAGTAAGATTGTCTCTCTTCTGCCAGCCCTATCTCCTTGGTTTCATACCAGATTAGAACCTGTGTTTAAAGACCAATCCCAAACCAGACTGGAAATTACCCAAACTAATCAAGTCCCTGTGCTCAGGGTTATTTATTTATTTGTTTTTTCCTTCCTATCTGAAACTGGAAAGGGAAAGAGGAGTTTGGCATTCAAATATGGTTTTAAATGTTATGTGTGTGAGTGTAACATGTGTGCATATGTGCACACACACTCCAGGCGCAATTGCCAGGGAGACTGATAGTATTGAGGTGATAGCGTTTGCAGAAAATCCTAACAGCAGTGTTGTATATTGGGTCACACTGTGGGCAGACACTTTTCTGGAATATTGACATTTCTTTAGATGAGACAAAGGGCAGAGGTGTGTTCCTTCATAGCTTCTATGAAGCCTTGGGCATCTGGACTTCCCTCTGCAGACGATAAATCTGGGAGATGCTGACCCTTGGCCTGAGGACCACAATTCAGAACATCACTTTTATTCCATGACTCCTCCCACTGGTGGGTTTCCCCCATCTTCCTTCCTCCTGCCTCCTCCACCTCCAGTGTAGAGTATGCAGAGAGAAAACAGACCTACCTGGTTATTTGGAGATCTCATTTTGCCTGCCCCTAAATACTGTGTGGTAGGCACTGGAGTTTAATGGCCTGACATTTGCAATATGGCTGCTTTTGGCTTCTGGTGCTGTATCCCCCTCCCTGGCGGTAGAGGGTAGAGCCCTGAATCACAGAAGAGATGGGTGGGGCCTGTGCTTCCCACCCCTAGGTGCTCAAAAGGGGGGAAGAGTTGAACTAGACAGCATTAGTTAAGAAGAAAGCAAAAACAAAATTTTATCTGAGAAGAGGCAACCAGTCCTGGTTGGTAACATGATCCAGAGATCACACTGAAATAGAGCCGGACCCCCAGTCAGACAGCACCTCTCCCTACAGTTCCCCCTGAGTTTCCTCAAGCAGAACTCAGGAAGTGGACTAGCCGCGGGCTGAGAAAGACCAGCTAAGCCCCTTACCATTTACAATTTCCAAGTGTGTGTGTGTGTGTTGGGGGGGGGGAGATGCCACCGTCCGCCGGTTGGTGCTGTGTTTCCTCTCATTGCATAATACTACACCATTCCCCTGTGTGTAGTGGCTGATTATATATATATATATATATATATATATATATATATATATATATATATTCGGGAGGCGACATATGGCGCTCCCTACCCCCACCTGTCAAAACTGTGACTATATCACTTCTGACGACCAGAAGGAAGCTGCTAGGCTGGGCCAGGATTCTAAAGGCTGAGGAGGTAATTCGGAGCCATGGAAGGAGGCACCATATGCTTCGGGGTTGCCAGCTGCTTGTGTGCTTAGGGAAGGTTTTAGTGCCCGTCTGCAAAGCCCAGGAATGCATTCACTTTGCTGCAGTATGCACTGGCGCGGGGAGTGGGGCGGGGGATTTAGGGTGCCACTTTTTCCTCTTCCTGGAAGGGAAATCTGTTGGGGACCACGATTCTCCAAGGGGGGGCAAAAGATCACAGTCTCATTTAAAACTTGCCCTCGATAACGTCAGGCCTGGCCAAATAGTATTTCTTTAGAAAACATTTTTTTTTTTTTTTTTTTTTTTGTGGTTGTTTTTTTTTTTTTTTTTTTTTTTTTTTTGGTTTCGTTTTTATTGGATAAAGATTAAGAAAGCGCCATCTCGGAGAGAAATGAAGCAAACCCGCCCGGCGGCGCGCAGCCCGGGCCGGGTCCGCGGCGCTGGGGGCGGGCGGCCGCTCTACCTGGAGGCGCTGGTCTCTGCCAGCCGGTTGTTCATGATGCCCAGTGCGCCCACGCCGCCCGAAAAGCCGTTCTGGCGTGTGTTGACGCACACGCTGCGCGGGTAGCCGTTGGCCGTCTCGGACAGCTGCTTCTGCAGCAGCGCCAGCGACACCTTGTTGGATGCCGTGAGGTCGCGCATGGAGATGAGCTCGCCCGACAGACGGCGGCCCTCGGCGTCGCTGTCGCGGGTCGCGGGGTCGGCACCCAGCGCGGCCAGGCGGCGGCGCAGCCGGGAACCCGGGGTGATGGCATTGCGCCGTGCCAGGGGCGCGCCGGGAGCCGGGCAGCAGCGTGTGCAGCAGCGGCAGCTCAGCTTGCGCAGCATCCAGTTGAGCACCTGCTTGATGAGGATGGAGATGACGTTGAAGAGCGAGTAGATGCAACACACGCCGAGCAGGATGAAGAGGAAGTTGCCCAGGCGGTAGAGCCCCTGGTTCCGGTAGGCGGCGTGCTGGCTGCTCACCAGGTCCCCGAAGCCGATGGTGCTGAAGGTGACGAAGCAGAAGTAGAGCGAGTCCACATAGTCCCAGCCCTCCACACTGGTGTACATGGCCGAGGCGCAGCATGCCAGCAGCACGGCGAACAGGCCCAGGATGAGCAGCACGTGGTACACCGAGGGCTTCCAGCCCGCTAGGCTGTCCGCCTCTGACAGAGCCGAGCCTCGACGGAAGGTGGCGGGCAGCAGGCCGCTGCGGCGCAGCTGGCGCTCTCGGCAGGCGCGCATGATGAAGGCCAGCAGCGAGATGATGCGCTCCAGAAAGAGGTTGAAAAAGAGGATGGTCCCCGCGCAGCCGAACAGTCCGTAGGCGATGAGGAAGGCCTTCCCGCCCACTGTGGCTGGGGTGGTCATGCCGAAACCTGTGGAGATGACAGCCAGGGTCAGAGAGGGCGAGTGGCCCCTATCTCCTGTGGGCGTGTGACAGTCCGAATACAGATGCAGGATCAACTCCTATCCTAACTGATTTCAGTCAGATGGGGGTGGGACAGCACTTAGACATTTCCCTCTCTTGGTGGCTCTTGATCATGAGAACCTCAACAGGATGGAAAGAGACCTTCGCTGTGGGAATATGTACATAGCACGGGTAGGGCATATAGGCACTAGGATGGGCCCAATAGGGTGTGTCAAGCAGCAACAGGTGCACAGATGCTGACCATTGAGCAGCCAACAAAGCCAACAAATGACACCTGTTCCCCTGACTGCATTTTTTTTTTTTAAATGGACTCCCAGGCACACAGCCTTGTTGGGGGTGGATTTCCAGAACTTGCTTACTCTGGGACCAGTGAGAGAGAATGACCAGATAGCTCTGGTTCACTTACTGAGCTTACACAAGGGTCCTTATGGGGGACAAGTTCCCCTCCCCCAGCCCTTAGAGTGCAAATCTGGACATCTGCTACTGGGCTTCTGATCCCTCCCCCCCCTCCGGGTCCACCATCAGTCACCCTTGCTCAGACCATGGGCAAGGGAAATGTTTTGGCCCAGCTGGATCCTGTGGGTTGGTCTACGGTTGCTTGAGAAGGGGCTGGGGTCCTTGAGTCTCTTGGCCTTGGAGACTGAGCTGTCTCACCGCTGTCACTCATCTCCATGCCCGTGGTAGTAAAGCTTCAGACCTGATCCCACTTCCTTCACACCCAGTAAAAAGGGACAACCAGTGTGCTGCCGTGAGGTAGGTCCAGCTCTGGGGAGAGAAATCAAGGGTGCTTTGTCCTTGTTGGCTTCCTGTCTCCTTAAGTAGGCCAGAGAAAATACTCCCTAACACTTTCAGAGCAAATTCCTTGAGCTTGTATGCTAATCATTTTCTTGATTCCCTGGAGGAAATGCCCAAGTTGTCTATTCATTTTATGCTTACTGACTCAAGTTCAAGGAAAATCCGATGACATTATTCACTGGGAAAGATGGTTTGTTTGCTGCGTTCCAAATTTGGCCACAAAAGAATGAAATATAACAGCAAATAACAGTAACAAGACAAACAAAATGTTAGTGGCTTGCCCAGGAACATGAAAGAAGGATTTTACAATACTCTAAAGCCAAACTCAGCTTCTTGGGCTCACAAAGAAATCAACTCGTTATATTAGTGCGTGTGAAGGGAGGGTGAAGGCATGGTGATGCATGTTTATAATCCCTGGATTTAGGAGGTAGAGGCAGGAGGACTAGGAGTTCAAGGCAGTCGTCCTAGGATATATGAGACCCTGAATGGACTTCAGCTAGCTGAAGCATAGCAAACATGGCCCTGGTAGACCTTGGCCTTCTCCTCCATTCCATCTTCATTGCTAAAAACTGTTAGATTACACTCCTAAAGCTAGTCACCAAGGTCTAGTCCCTTATTTGGCCACTTCCTCCTCCTGAGGCTGACTACCGAGGACCAGCTATCAAAGAATTGAAGTCCAACAATCAGAAGTCCTCTTTGCATCACCTAATTAGCATGCCCAATTAAAATTAAACACCTCATCCTAACATGGGGTTTCCCCTTTTACCATTATAAACTGCCATTTTCCTATGGGCTCTGTCAGCCTCCTCTCTATCCAGAGCCAGTCCTTTGCCCCTCCAGGACAAATATCCCTTCCCCCTTCTCCCTGTTCTCCTCCCCCTCTCTCTGTTTCCTCCCCCTTCTCCCTCATCTCTATCTCCTGTCTTAGTCTCTTATTTCCTTCCCTTCATCTCTCTAGGGAAAATAAATCTCCTCTGTGCTGAGAACTTGGTCTTGGGGGTCCTGAGCCAATGCCCATCCTTTCAGACCCTGTCTTAAAAACAAAATAAAAATAAAGCAAATGTAGAAAGTCCTTTATCAGGAGCTGGAAAGATGGCCTGGTGATTAAGAGGAGAAGCTGCTCTTGCAGAGGACCTTAGCAGATATCTGAGCATCCACAACAGGTGGTTCACAACCACCTATAACTCTAGCTCCAGGGTGTCCAAAGCCTTTGGCATCCAAAGCTTTAGGCACCTGCACCCACACAGCCGGTTCATAGAGTTTAAAGCCCTATGTTGATAAGCCAATGCCCAGCCACATAACTAGACCATGGTCTGCTCATTACAAGCGAACCTTACTCACAGAAACAACAACAACAACAAACCAGTATGAACCATGGCTATTTACAATATGATGAATCTCACACACACAAAATAACATTGAACAAAAGAAGCTATAAAGAAAATAACCTGCACTATTTCAGTAATATAATATAATTTTATTTTAATTTTTAGGGATGCCTACTTGATTGGTCAAATTATAAGGAAAGAGTAGGGAAGAGGATGGAGGAGATATTGATTTACATTTAGGGGTCCTAGAAATGTCACCTGAATGCTAGCTGTGTCAGATGTGTTAAACATTATTTTATGTGTTTCCTCATACCTCCATGATAAGAAAAATTCTTGATTTTTATAGCGTCACAATTGGAAGAGACTTTAATCTTCTTTTGTTACAACTCGCCTATTTAAGCTTGAGTACTATTTTATTAGTATTTGAGTACTATTTATTAGTATTTGAGAGGAATACTTTGTCACTGCTGGCTGTCTCAGTCAGGCCTGGAACAAGGAAGGCTAGCTTGTGCTCTACCACCGAGCTCCATGGTCACCTAAGAGATCTGAATTTTGACCTGTCCCTCCAGGTGTTAGTGAGGGAGGAGGGGCAGCCAGAGCCTGTCCTGTGACTGGACATCTCCTTTTGTCACAATGGCTGCTCTGCTTAGACAGGAAAATAGAACCTCTAGTAGAGGGATTCCTTTGTTAAATTGCTAAAGGAATGGAAAGTCCCAAGCCTGGAAAATGGGTGCTTAGTCAGGTTATGAGAATACAGAATTGGATTTTCCAATGTTTCCATTTTTCAGCTAAAGTCTCAATACTGAGAACAACCTGTGGCATGCAATCCTTCATTCTCTCTCTCTCTCTCTCTCTCTCTCTCTCTCTCTCTCTCTCTCTCTCTCTCTCTCCCTCTCCCTCTCTCCCTGCCTCCCTCTCTCCCTCTCTCTCTGCCTCCCTCCCTTCCCCCCTCTCTCTGTGTATGTTCAACAGGGTCTCATGTAGTCTAGGATAGCTGCAGATTTACTATGTAACCAAGGTTGGCTTTGAACTCTGGTTGCCTTAGTTTATCTCTAGACTGCTGGGATTATAGGTATGGGACACCATGTCTGGCCAGACACATCCATGCTGAATTAACTAAACAGGCAAAACAGGTTTGATAACTAGGACACCCACACCCAGACTCTCTACACCCCCCAGGTATCTGATAGGCTGGATATTGGTGGGAGATGCATTTGAGGTGTTAGAGTCATTGTATACAGGCTTCTTCCACATACCCACAGGCCACTCATGGCTGTGGAGGGGTTGTCAAGAGAATAGTCAGAGGCTGGTATGTGGAGGGAGAGGGAGAGATCAGAGCAGGAACAGGCAGCTCTCCTCCTAGCTGGGTACTGGCTGGGGCTACAGGAATTCACATGGACCTGCACAAATGTTGGATGGAATGTAGGGACAACCAAGAGTGTCCTCAGAGTCTGAGGCTGTGTTGGCCCACTGTCTTGGTGGGAACCTGATAGGGAGGGAAGGCAGAACTCAGTAATGAGAGCAGTCTCTGCCTCAAAGGTGGTGCAGGTTGGATTTTTTTAAAGACACTATCTAAGGCCTCTTCCTGCCTCAACTTCCCTGTAGATGGTGCTTGACACTGTACATGGCTTACTGTTACTGTTTTGATTTTTTCAAGGGTGGGGAGCAGTTTCAAATTGGGCACAGCTAGCTTCATATTTGCTATGCATCCAAAAATGGCCTTTAACTCCTAAGACTCCTGCTTCTACTTTCTAAGTGATCAGTTTACAAACATTCACCACCACCATGCCTGGCTAGCTTGGATCTTAAATAGCTTCCAAAGACTCATCTGTTGAAGGCTTGTTGCCTACACACTATTAGGAGGTGGTGGAACTTTCTGGGTGAGGCCTTAATGGGAGTTTTTAAGGCCAGTGGAGGGCATACCCTTGCAAGGAGTTATGGGACCCTGGCCCCTTTGTCATTCTGTTTTGCTCTTTGGCCATGAGTATTGGTTGGTTGGTGCTAGGAGTTGGTTGGTGCCTGTCCCTAGAGTAGGCAGTGCAGTAAGAGCCAAAAGAAGATGTTAAGGACCCAGTGTCATAAGACAAGGTTCCAGCACAGCTATGACCTCCCTTGCACTCAAGCTCCTGAGGCACAGCAGAGGCTAGAGCAGGAGGTGACGCTCAGCTTTGACAGGAGGTAAACTAGAGGGTTGGGTTTGGCACCTGGGAATGAGTCTCAGTCTCAAGATTGGCCCTAAAAGCCAAACCAAGACAGAAGGCTATTTGGAGACTGCTGTTAACAAGACGCAAAGGAAGACGATATCTGGAAACGAAGCTGCTCCTTGTGTCAGCCCATTTAACAAACCAATTCCACTGCATTTGCTCGGCACACTGTGCCTGCCCAGGGTGTATCAGCCCACATCATCTCTACAAGCTATAAAGAGGCAGAGGAGACCATGGGTTACAGAGAAGCAGCTGCCAGGGCCCCACATCTGGGAAGTGGGGAGGCAGGGAGAAGAGTATTATCTCAGTGTCATGACTCTTATTGCTGAGAGTCCTTTGTGGCTCTTGGTCACAGCTACCACCTTGACCTGGACATATGGAGGCATGGCTGTTCTCCCTTTGTTTTTTCCGCCAGAGTGGACTTACCTTCCTGTAGCACAGATGAGACATATTGGTCACTTAGATAAGAGCTGTCCCAGGGCCTGGGCTCCGCACATGAGATGTCTGTTGCTTCTGGTTAAAGGTCTGGTGGACCACAGGCAGGGTACTCATCTCTCCCCGAGGTCCCCACAGACCCACCCTACTCCGTATGGCCAAGACTCTCCAGTGTGTGTCGGGAC